ACACCGATTACAAATAGCATTACTCGAAACGATATTATCTAGGCACTTTTACCCAAGATTAAGCCATCCAATATGAGTTCACCAATTCTTAAAACACGCAATAATTATGGAAAGATTATGGTATATACTAAAATAAATTCATTTTCCCAAGGAAAAATGTTGATACATAAACATAATTAACGCTCTTTCTGACCCAATTTCTACCTTACCCCGGAAATCAAAACCCTCTGAAAAGAGAACGCGAAAAGACAAAACTACCCTCTGCCTCCAGCCGGAAAGACGCAGGGCAGGAGCACCACCGCTGTATCAATAATTTGACCCACGACTACACAGCACATCATGATCTATGACGGTGTTTCTTCGCCGCCAACACCACCGGTAACCAGAAATTGAAGATTCCACAACCACTTAAAACGAAATAATCAGTTGACTAGACATGATAACATCTTTTTATAATTTAATTCTACACATACATATATATTATGTATGTACCGCAGTTGACGACAGTGATCGTCTCGCATCATATGGTGCAGCCGCAGAAGACGAAGAAGAAGCAGAGGAAGGAAACGAGGGCGACGGACTCTATGGCGGAGATTAAGGACCAGATGACGGTGTCCACAATGGGAAAGGAGAAATCGACTTCCGGCCACCGCACAAGCGCAGCCAACCGCCGCGGTTCCAAGCTGCTCAAACTGCTAAGGCTGAGGCTGTTGCTCCAGCTCGGCGTTAAGTACGAAGCGAACAGTCTCGGCCACCGGAAGAACGACGTTGGCAGCGAGAAGCTAACGTCAAGCCATCGGAAAGCTGATGCGGATGACCCTCTCGGCATATTCGGAGACTTTGTGTGTGTTTTCGGTGAGATTCTGGGAAACGAGCAGTACAGTACACAAATTGATAGGAAAGAGTGGAGGCCAGAGGGGAGTAGAGTGTTCTGGGCGGGGTTTTAATTTAACAAATTTTACGTAAATTTGGTACTGTTCGGAAAGAGATGTTTTAGCCAATTGTGGTGGATCGATCTAGGCCGTGTAATTTGTTTAGTCAATTCGAGATGGTCCCACCCATGTGAAAAGCTGGCCGTTTGATGGTATTTTAACAGAACTACGTTGTTTGAAAACTTTTCTCCAGTTTCCTGTTCCGTAGGGTAGGGTGTGGGGGTGGATTGGGATAGGGTGCTGGGAAGAAGAATAGGAACAATATTGAGTGTACAACACCTGTCTTACATTCATTTTGTATTTTTGATAGCCCACTCATAATCAAGGGACCTGCGAATATTTTAGCCCCTGTTTGGCCCCCATTACGGGGAAAATTTAATGTGTAGAATAGTATTTTTTGAAAAATGAGTGGTTGAAAAAGAAAGAAAAATTTTCGATTTACGTGTAATATTATTTTATGGAAGATTGTGTGGTTGAAAATAGGAGAGAGAAAAAGCAGAATGTAATGTAATGTAATTTAATGAAAATCAAACAAGGGCTTAATTATGAGTCTCAATTTTTGTATGTGAGAGAGTTGTCAACTATAATATTAAAATTACTGTACTTATAATACAATTTATATAATTTTCATTTGATTTTGAGTTTTACTAAAAATAACATGGAGGCTGATAGCAATTGCAGTACCCTCCCTATATGTGGGGTTTCAGTCAATCAGCCTCCCTATTGTTGTAGCCAACGTTTTGAAAATCAATTCAATCATCGACTTGGAAAAGATCAAGGGTCAAAACGTTCAGTCGAGATCGAATTGAAATCAAACTGGATGTAATAAATACATACAAAAATAATAAAATACTATGAAAACGATAAATTTTTTTATAAAATTTTCATATTAATAATTTGTTAACATTTTTGTTATGCTATTAACCCACATTGGAAGTTTATGAAACCACTAGAGAGAAGTGCATCTATAAAATGCACTATTCCACATTAGTAGTTTATAAAACTATTTGAGAGATGTGCATCTATATGAAGAACGTGTCATTCAATATTTTTCTATGGGCATTTGAATTGTTATTTATGATACCCATTGATGAAGTTGAAATTTTTTTAATTAAAAAGAAATATTGGAAAAACCACAAAATCACAACGAGTTTACGGTTAACCGGCCACGGTTCGATGAGTTTTTAAGCGGTTTAGTCATAAGTGGTTAATCGGGCATGATTGACCTGATTTGGGACTGGTTCCCAATTTTACCAGTTAAATCGGCCGGGTCGGGTCGATTTCAATAACATTGTTGTAGCAAAACCCTTTGATTTTTAATTTTTTTGGTTTTTTGATTTTTAAAGAGGAAAATATGTTTTGACTGAAATACCCTTATTTTATTCGATCAAAATTATAAATTTTTAATTTCTAAAATTGATTGCTTCACTTCTATCAGTTTGGATTTGACCCGCAACCACAAATGAAATGTTTGAACCAAGTCTACTACTAAATGAAAGTTTGGTACCTGAGCTACAATTTTTCCTAAATATAAATACTCATTCAAAACTGTATATTTTAATGGGTTAATTTCAGAAACGATCATTGAACTTATCAAAAAATTACAAAACAGACACTGAAGTTTAAAATTTTTAGTAACAGTCACTGAACTTCCGGGCGGTTACACTAATGGTCACTTAAGTTTAAAAACTTTCACAAATGGTCACTAAAGTTACCAAAGTGATTCTACTTCAAAATTAAGGACCAAACCACGTGACCAAAGAATATTGAGGACCTCAATTGCAAATTTTTGACCGAAATGAATTTCCCAATCATCTAAAAGTGCCTCGGCTTTCTTCCAAATTCGTCCAACTCCATTAATGCCCATGTTAGCCACACCTCAAAGATCGCTCAAGCTCATGTAGACGCGTCTAACTATGTTCATATAACAACAAACATCCAAAATCGAAATATAGAGCATTTTTCGAAACAACGAACTCGTGGCCGACAAACTCATTTTTCGACAACGGTGGTAGTTCCCAAGATCACGGACCACCTGTCCTAGCATCCTCTCTTCATGACGCACCTATTCTAGCCATGGGTCATCACCAATTTGGGCGCAAAGTGGATGAGCAGGTCGGACAATTCATACACAAGGCAGTCCGATTTGTCCACCTTCAACTGAGGTTTCTACACCTTCCCAATTATCAAATTCGCCCTTAATATCTTCAATTCAGCTTGGTAGTACATTGGGTCATGAATCAATTGCACCAATTAATCATCAAATTGAGCCAATTTCTAGATTATCCGCACCAAGTCCGCTCACAAGAAATGAGTTTCATCCATCATTTGGAGGCTCCAATGCGACCCAATATACAAATCAACTTGGGGGAATTGACATTCAGGTTCAAAAGACACTAGTTAACGACTCAATTACAGACATTACATCTCTGATATACCGAATTTTGGAATCAAACGTCGCTGGGTTTGGGGGTTTTTTGGCCGGAAAGCAACTGAGGTCCTCAATATTCTCTGATCACGTGTTTTGGTCCTTAAGTTTGAAGTAGAATCATTTTCATAACTTCAATGACCATTTTTCAAACTTAAGTGACCATTAGTGTAACCACCCGGAAGTTCAGTGACCGTTACTGAAAGTTTTAAACTTCAATGATCATTTTATAATTTTTTGGTAAGTTCAGTGACCGTTTTTGAAATTAACCCATATTTTAATTATTTGAGCTTTTTTTATTTTATGATGAATGTGTTCTCAAAAGTACAGCCAATAAATATTTTAATAATGAAAAATGTAATCTTTCCGTCATTCATAAAATTAAAAGGAAAATCATTTTCGTCCTAATTTAAGGGTCGAATGGGACAATGAACCTTTAATTATGAACCATAGCATTCCTTAATAGAGAGATTCTGTCTATTTATTTTTATTTTTTCAAAGTGATCTATTTCACTGAAAAATATATAGCCCCGTTAGATAGCAATTTTTCACCCAAAAAAATAATTTTTTACCTTTATTTCACTATTTCAGCCGTTATTTTTTTACTTCTTCTTATAGGTAGGATCTACTTTTTCTTTTTAACGATCAAAAAATCAATTCTTATAATCCCTATCGAACAAGTCCATAATCTTTTCTATCTTGATTATGTAGGATGAATACACTAAAATGAGATGGTAAACAAAATCTAAGTCGCACGTTAGCAGCGCCACTTTTCAATGTTAACTATGTGAGTTGTTCAACTTCCTTAAAAGTTAAGAAGAATAAAATATTATGTCTCTCTTGATGGATTGGAAATCTTTCAAATATCATCTTGTTTATGCAGTCGGTCAAAAAATACAAGGGTTCACACTTCACACTATATTATGAAAGAAATTGTCAATTAGGGCGCGGTTGATTGAAATTTGCATGGAAAAAAAATAAATTTTAAGTATTTGATTGATTTAGTTTCAACAAAAAAAAAATTATATTTATCTATTTTTTATTAGCGGGTAACTGAAAGAGAAGGAATAGATTAGAGAGAGAAAAGGAGATAGTGAATTATTTGGAAAATAAAAATCAGCAATCCCTAAAGAAAATATTTTCATTGTCTTTGAAAAAAAAAAGTGATTATATGACAAAAAAATGAAAAATATTTTCCATAAAAAAATTGTCAATCAAACATCCCAAAAATAAGAATTTGGGAGAAAAAATAACTTTTTTTTTTTTTTAAATGAAAAACAAGGTCAATCAAATACACTCTTGTGCAATTAATTTCCCAGCAAATTTATAAGGGAAAATTGTAGCGGAGGTCCCCCAAACCTTTCATTTTGTTGCAAAATATACCTTTACCTTTTATTTTTATGGCTGCAATCCCAAACCTTTCACTTTAATTGCAGCTAGAATCCATTATATAGATTACGTTAGTCAACACTGAAATTAGATTTTTTACTCAAATTGACAAATGAAATGAGAGTAAAATCGACCATTTATATTCATATAATAAAATAATCAAATGAAAAACAACATAAAAAATAAACTTCATCTTCTCCACCTTCACCTCCACCTCCAAAATCAACGGCCTCGCCACCCAAGTCGCCCAACTATCCCAACTCCTCCATGCCATCGCCCGCCTCACCACCGCCTCCTCCAACATCTAAGAATGCCCTATCAATCTGCTGGAGTGGAAGCATTGAATTAGATTAAGCAAATCAAAAGAAAAGAAAAGTATACCGTGTAAGTGGGACTCAACACTGCCATTTGGAACAACCTCATAGACCAAGCAGCGTGTACGTTCTTCAATGCATATACCAATTAATTTCACGAGGTTGCGATGGTGCAATCGGCTTAGCATCTCAACCTCAGCAATAAATTCACGGTCTCCATTCTGATTGTCCCTTGTCAGTAACTTCACAGCTACTTTAGTTGCATCTTCCATGATCCCAAGATAAACACGTCCAAATCCTCCTTCACCTAAAATCCTTTTTGAACTGAATTTGTCAGTGGCTTTCTCCAGTTCTGTAAGTCTAAATGTTTTGACAGAAAGAACAGATGCAGGCATGGCAGAAACAAGAGACGCAGATGTTGAACTGGCTGGGCTACTTGACTGCATAGAGCCAAGTCCTGCAACTTAAAAGAAAATTCAAATGCATTTAAAATCTCCAACAGCTTTAGACAGTTGATATGTTTGAAGAAATATATAGCCATCAATGCTAAAATAAGTAATGACATCTCATATCGGATGAGAAATCAATGCCAAGTCAACCAGATATTAACACAAGGCATATAAATAAATAATTTTAAATTTAAAAAAAAAAAAAAAAAAAAAAAACTGATTTCAGTGTTGACTAACGGAATTCTGGACGAAATCTATACAATGGACTCCGACTGCAATTAAAATGAAAGGTTTGGGATTGCAGTCGTAAATTTGAAAGTTAAGGTATATTCTGCAACAAAATGAAAGGTTTGGGACCTCCACTGCAATTTTCCCAATTTTGAAAGCATAAATCAAAATTTTGTTTGAAATTGACATTCATGTGTACGTAGCTAGAGGTGCCAAGATATATCAAGTTAAAGCTATATTTTTGGTCGACCAATTTTGTTTAAAATAAATTTTTTTACGATGCCTGCTAATAAAATTGATCCATTAAATAATTGAATTGCCATATAACGTGTAAATGGATTTTTATTCTGATTAAATTATCTTTTTATATATGATTCTTATATAATTAGCAAATTGATAGTACTTTCTTATATATTATCAAAGAATAATGTTATGTGTACACTGCTCTCACATGGAGGAACCCCACATATAACCCTCAATAGGGGATTGGGGAATGTAAGACTGTGTATAAACAGATATGTACACGTAGCATTGTCCCACAATAGAGGTTGGGAACCACATTTGAGAATTTTTATATTCACGCGATCCCACTTACATTGTAAGAGGAGGAATAACTTTTGGTGCATTTCATTCGATATCCTAAAATAATATCCCTTTCAAGTCACTAGCATGTCATTGAACTGTCACATTTACTTCAGCCAAACAAATTAATAGGGACAGGGAATGGGTGCCACGTGCATCAAATGTACCTTTTAAATGAGTATGTTGATATTAAGAGGGTGTTTGGGAGCCAATTTTATGTAAAAATGTATTTTGGAATAGTAAATTGATGAAAAATATGTGATTGAAAAATAAGGAATTTTTTTTTATTTACGTGTAATATTATTTTAATGAAGAATGTGTGGTTAAAAAGAATAGAGAGAAAAATACATTTTAAAAAAATGAGTGTCAAACGGAGCCTAAAACAGGAAATTTGTCAGCGAGAAGATGTACATTGCACCAGGGCGGTCGAATGTTGGGACACTCGTGAGGTTTTCATATGTTGACAAAAACAAACATAAATTGGGTTCCCAAAGCTTCAAACCTTACAAACCTTTATACCTAATTATTTTGTTGACATTTAATCCTTCAATTTTCTACATAGTAGGTACATTTTTGTTGATATCGGTGGTACCAGAATTTGGGAAGATAATTTAGATGAGAAATTCAAAAAATAATTGATAACACTCAAATTATATGTCGAGGGATTTGAAGGGGAGGAGGCAAGAGGTTTCGAAAGCATAGAGTGTCGGCAAAGAATGAAGGCGGGATAGGAGCCAAATTTGGGGCAGAATTGTGGCGGGGCAAGTCTTTTGCCTCATGTACCGCCTCGTCCATTTTTTTATTTTTAATTTTTTCATGTCTTTAGTTGGTGAAAGTTATTATTATTATTACTACTACTACTACTACTACTTTGTTAAGAAAAACTCATTCCATTTAGAAATGATTGCAATTCATTTATTTTTGTTTGATAAAAAACTTAAATTTGAAATAAATTTTAAACTAGTTGAGTAGCAGGACGGAGATAATGTTTTTCCTACTCGCTTCGGAGCAACAACCCCCTCTCCGTCTCAGTTGGGATGGGCTCCACGAGTATTGAATTTAACAATTTTTTTGCCTTCCATAATTGAGAACTATGGAAGTAAGAGTTGGGCTAAGAGGGAGGGGGTGGACGGGGTTTTCAATTCAATTTTTTACAGTAAATAAAATAAAATAATGTTTGTATCAGCTCATTATAAAAATGATTTTGTCCTCCCAAACTCCGTCACTGATGTTAGAGGGTGTTTGTTAAGGTGTCCAAAAGCTATAGGATCTAAATAGGTAATGGGACGGATTGGCGATAGCAAGATTCGAAGGGGCCTAGAAATGTGAGGAGTGGAGGTGGTAGCTAAGAGATTTCATCTATATTGAGTGTCGGCTTGTGGAAATGCAACATGTATAAAGAATTCTCTAGTTTAACCTCTTTAGAGAGTATTTCATCGCCTTTCTCCGCATATCTCCTTGGCAAAATGATACAGTACTATAAAGTGATAGTTTGGTAAAAAAAAAAATTAATAATAATAATAATAATAATAATAAAAAAAAAAATAAAAAAATAAAAAAAAAAATATATATATATATATAAGGAAAAATTGTAGTAGCGGTCCCTAACCTTTTCATTTTTTGCAGACTTTATCCATAACCTTCATTTTGTGAGAGCGAAGGTCCCTAACCTTTGATAAATATGTACATGAAGTCCATCTGGACGGAAACCGTCCAAAACATCTTCAGTTGATTGGAAAAATTCTTTGAACTATCTGCTACCATAACGATTTTATTGGATGTTGATACCCTTTTGGACGATTTTATTGGATGTTAATTCCTTAATTTTTCCGGTCAATCGATGGTGTTTTAAATAGCTTCCGCCCAAATGAATCTCAGGTGCATATTTATGAAATGTTAGGAACCTCCACTTGCACAAAATAATAGTTAGGGTAAAGTTTGCAAAAAATGAAAAGGTTAGGGATCACTACTACAATTTTTCCAAAATATAATGGTAATACTGATTTGATGTTAATCATTAATTTTAATCATATGAAAAAACTTACATCCCACCCTATTTTTAAAAATTAGTATTCTAAAAACAGTAAAGAGGTTTCACTATTGACATATTAGATCTTTTGTATGTCATTATCCAGCAACTACCATATGCAGTCGGCAACCACCGCACGCAATATTGCTACAGGGCATAACAATGACGATGGAGTTGTGTATAGAACATTGCTACTTGAAGTAGTGGCACAATGGTGATGTCGATGCATGCACCGTGAGAAGCAAATCTATGAGATCTGCGAGAACCGTTACTAGCCACCATGTTGAAGAACGGTGGTTTGTTGATGAGATCGTGGTGCTTTATAAATGGATTTCATGGTAGTTTGTTGAGACCGCGATGGTTTCTTGTTGACAAGTATGTGAATGAGTGTTGGTTGAAAATGGTCATTGTGGTGGTGGTGGTGATGGTGGCAATAGTGGGGGGTGACGACAATAAGGTGATGGTGATTATGTATCTAATTTAGGGATTTCAACGAGTCGAATAGAGCTGGCTCGTGAGCCGAAACTCCCCGCTCAGGCCTTTTTTTGCCCGAGTCGAGGCATCGAGCAGAACTTGGCCAAAATTAAGACTCGAGCCGTCGCGATTTTCTGAATTTTTTTGCCTCTTATCTCCCTCAACAGGTAGCTATCAAGCTAAGAAGATTGATTGATTTTTTTAACGGGCCGGTCGTGCTCGAGCTGACACCCCGAAATTTGGCTCGGCCCAAGCCTTGGCTGGGTGCCTCTGAGCCATGGACAACCTTAGCCGGCGAGCCCAACTGCCATCCCTAATCTAATTTGTTGGTGGTTAGGTGGTGGTAGTGGCACTGATTATGGCGGTGAAGTGACGATTTTGATGAAGTGATGGTGGTCGTGGTCACAAATGGCGAAAATGGTAAGGTGGTGGTGTAGGGTGTTGGGGGCGACGACGATTGTGGTGGTAAAAAATTATTTGGTTGATTATGACCAATAAATTGACTAATGTGTAACCAATTAAATAAATAATTTGTGACTAACAAATAACGCGTGACCTAAAAGAATGTTAAATTGTGACCAATAATTTGATAAGTTGTATCCGAAAAATAATTTGTAACTAATTAATTAAATATTTTGTAACCATTAAATAAGTTGTGATTTGAAAATTTTGTGATTGAATAATATGTGACCTATTAATTTGATAAATTTGTGATCGATAAAAAAATTGTAATCTATAAATTTTTTATTTATAGCCGTGAAATAACTTGACTTATAAAAATTTTTATGTGATCAAGAAATAATTTGTGATCAATTCATTCGATAATTCGTAACATTAATATATTTAATTAATAAAATATATGTTTAATCAATTATTTTATAAATAAAATCTAATTTATGAGATTTTAAACATTGTTTCTTAGTTTTGAAATGTGTGGTACTAATATCTTTATATATAAATTTTTCCCTTTAATTATTCATTAACAAATACTACCTGTATATTTCGTGGACCCACTAATCCTTTTGACTAAGCCAGATACAGTTAGAATTTGTATGAGATATGATTTGGAAAGTTCAAATGTGGTAACATTAGATTCGTAGATCTTATTTTCAAGTTATACCTTAGAATTGAAGGGTACTTTTCTATGGACAATATCAAAGCTTTGGCTCTTCTTGAGGGACTATTGTTCGCACGTCGCCTTGCTTTCTAGTCGGAGTGAATTGAAAGTGACTCTTTTATCACCATTCAATGTCGTCAAGTGAATCTCGCCTACACTTCGAATGCTGCTTTTTGGCATTATTTGTTAAGTCGCACCGCATTGTACATTAAATTTCCACAATAAAGAAATAAATGAATTTTAAATTTCTATAATAGTCTTAGACTAAATTAATATTCTTTTGAATGAGGAATAGCAAATTAATCAATACTTGATGTTCATAATTTAAGGAATATTACAAGGAGTGTTATAAAAGTGAAGAAAAGAGAAACAGAACAGAGAGAAGTCAATAGACTTTTGTGTTTTATTAAAAATTAAAGCTCTGTATTTAGAGGGCAGAATCAGTGATACAATAGTAATAATTTCTAGTGTTGCAGGAGTAAAATTGTCATTCACTTCTAAATCCTAATAAACTTACCTTTTACAACACTCTTCCTTGAATGATACATTATAAAATATCTGTTTCGTTAAGATTTTGTTTGATAAAAATTCAATGGAAAAAAAAAATCAAACGAAGGAAAAAGATTATAGTTATTTTGAAGTATTAAAAATAAATGATGGATCATTAAAACCTTGCTAGAAAAATTTAGTGGGACAAAACCTAAGCGAAAGAAAAAGAGTACAACTACTTCCCCTGATATTGATCACTGAAGATGTTTGAGTCGACAAATTCCAATGTCGTGAACTAATTTCTCGAATGGAGATGTTGACGGTGTTTTTATGAATATATCAGCCACATTGCCACTTGAGAGAATATTTTTGGATATCAATGTCGTCATTTTTCTAAAGCTCATGTGTATGATAGAATTTTGAAAAAAATATGCTTCGTCATGTCACCTTTGATATAACCCCCTTTGAGTTTTGCAATACAAGCTAGATTGTTTTCATACAAAATTGTTAGCTATCTCCCTTGTTGGAGTTAACTCACATGATACTTGGATATGATGGGTCATGTCATCAACTATACACATTATTGGCTTGTTTCATGGATTGCAATAATTTCAGAATGATTTGAGGATGTTACTGTCGAGAATTGCTTCATGGATCTCCATGATATAACTGTTCCTCCACGTGTAAACACATATCCTATTTGTGATTTACTTTTATATGGGTCAGAGAGATAACATGCATCTGTATATCCCACTAAAGCGGATCCTGACTTTTGAGAATAAAATAACCTCAAATCAATAGTACTGTTTAGGTAAAGAAAAATATGTTTAACACTATTTCAATATTTTTGAGTTGGTATAAAGTTATATC